ACAGTGAACTCTCCAAGCCAGTTAAGCGCGAGACGTCGGAACTCTTGACCATTGCCGGAACTCCCGACCGGTTGGAACTCCCAACGAACCAACCTGAGAACAACAACTTTACCATTGCTGGGCAAATACCGGACACGTCCGGTCCGGTATCAATACCGGACTATTGCCAGGCCAGCGTAAATAAGTTAGCTCTTTTGTCTCTCAAACACTCAAAACTCACATGGGTTGGCATGAGCACTTATGAATGATTATCTATCAACATGATACATCTCTCTTAATAGTACGGCATACCTATTAAACTCAAGATCAAAGGAAAAATGAATTTATACCGCTTGAGTTGATCTCTTTTGAATTGATGTCGTGTCTTTAAATCTTCATCAAGTGATGGTGCTAACATGTCGATATTGATCTTTTTACTTGAGCATAGCCATCCTGAGCACGTGACTTGATTCCATTCATCACATATGAATAATCCCAAATGTATCAAGTCACTTCCATCAAATACTCCAATAGTGATTTGATCCTCCACATTAACATGACCATCATAGCTTGATTAGTAGTTGCCCCATTCAACATGAGCAACGACTGACCGGGGTTCGAAGGCCAGCCCGTGAAGGGCTCGAGGCCACCTCGCATCAAACAGAGCCAGGGGAGAAAACGCAGATGAGCCCTAGCGGCCCTCACCCGGTATGCTTAGAAGTAGACAGGGTCATCTCGACCTTCTCATTCGATCCTAACCTCGAGCCATGCCCACAGAATCTCCATCAAGGGGAGGCTAGCGGACTACCTGAGTCGGTCTCTAGAACGACCCGGGCATCTGTCGAGAGGCGGGTTAAGGAGCAGTGGAATGCCACATGAGGGCTATGCCGACCCCGTTACGAACGATGGACCCGGATTTCGCTCGAACGCGCCCGTTAGTGAGCTCATCGAGCGCGTCACTCGAGCCATCGAGGCAAGTGACATTAGCTCAGGCCCTCCGGTTGCGGAAACAGCGGACAGGGTAACGCACGGAACTAGACCAACCCCTATCAAACCCAACGGGGCTCAGGGGCTCAAGTAGCCCGACGCCGACTCGAGAAATCAACCGGCCGCGCAGGTCACGGGCGGGACAAACACGGGCGAACACCCCGAATGGCAGAAACACAGGAGTCTGTAGCCCCAGGAAAGAGTACCAAGATACTCAGCCTCCAACCGACTCACCAGTCGGACGCAGGCTCGGGGGCTACACCCATCGGGTGCGCTCGTGCGTACCCACTGGCAAGACGAAAAATCTCCAGACGATTCTACCCAAATCGCTCGAGGGCTCAGGGGCTACACCCACCGGGTGCGCTTGCGCGCACCCGCTGACAAAACGAAAAATCCCCCAGACGATTCTACCCGAATCGCCTAGGGGCTCGAGGGCTCCTGTCGGGTTCATAAACTTAGGGTCCCTAATGGGCCTGCTTCCCAGCAAAAGCGTAGCCCAGTAGACGTCATTACAAATGACGTGCAACTCCTGGGCCAGCCCAGATACCTAACGACAGGCTAGAAGAGCGATCCAGTCTCCGACCAGAAGGTCTGGCCAAGGAGGGGACGACGTTCGCTTTCGACCCCGACCCACTTTTCCAACCGAAAGGCCTATCATGGAGGGGACGACACTCGCTTCCAACTCTGACCCGCTTCTCCGACTGGAAGGCTTGGCCAAAGAGGGGATGACGCTCGCTTTCAACTCTGACCCGCTTCTCCGACCGGGAATACACTGATCCTTTGCTTACGGCTCTTCTCCGATCGATGCGGTCAGAGCCAACTGGGAACGACCGGCAGGGGATGCCCGCTCGGTGAGGACCTAAGAAATTAGGCGAAGCAGATAAGGTAAGGCGCTCAAGTCAATTGCAATACCGAGGACCGTACCCTGCACACCTGTAGGACAGTACTATCAGGCCATGCCCGAAGGGTACTTTGCAGCCTTCCAGACATGTCATAACACAAACAGTGTTGTAGGCGTCGACATTTGTCATACAATATGGTAGGCGCCGACATTTGCTATACCAGAAGAACAAGATGGAGCCTGCCACATGCATCTAGGCATCAACAGTATTGTGTGCGCCGACAAACTGTCTTGTACCCGCCGACGTGGGCAACAAAAATAGGACACACACACTCTCTCTATCTCTTGAACTTGTAAGGCCGTCCCCTTCATCTATAAAAGGGGATGCGCTTTTTCCCAACAGAGGACGATCATTCTGACTCTCTCTCTGCTAGCTTTAGACATTCTGAGCACTCGAACAACTTCATGGCTCTAGAACTCCAAAGCTACACAGAGCATATGTCACAATACTTAGCGCATGTAGGAGCTCCCGTCACTCTTGGCCCTTCAGTCCAGAGTCCGACCGGACCTCTAACACCCCCATATCTTATTCCCACTCGTTTGTAATTCCACTACAAACTTCGAGCACCTGGGCTCAGGAATAAAGTCATCGACCGACTCAAACTGGAAGTAGGGCACATTGCCTGAACCAGTATAAACCCTGTGTCATTGAGTGCTAGGCCACATCTGATCACAACGTACGACAAAACAATAAATATTTACTTGTTGGTCACTTTTCGCACCGACAATGTTCTTCCTCATCTGTCTATAGCATCTCTTTATGTCTTGATTCCTGTGTAGATATAGTTTTTTATCAAGAGACCATCTTCTCCTCTCTCTCCCATTGTTAAATCATTTGCCACATCAATAAAATACTTATGTAGCAGGGTAATTAATACGTAGAAACTAAGATGGCTTCTGCACTGTAAGGTTGTCTCCAATAGGAGACCTAAACCCAAAATAGGTCTCCAACAGAATACTATAGCCTCCAACAGAGTACCTATATGGAAGACTCATTTAGGGTGTCAGGAGAGGTATAACCCAAATCTGAGTATCTTCTCTCCTGGAGATCTATTTGCAGAAAAAGGTTCTCTTTTGGGTCTTGTTGTTGCAAAAGACAAAAATGGGTATTGAATCTTTTGCTTGTAGCGCTACGCAAATATGAAATGGATCTTGTATTTTAGATGACGGTTGTTGGAGATGGTCTAAGTGCCCTTAGTACCAGTATGTCAATAAGTTATAATAACTTTTCTCAAAGTGGGTAGACAACACGAGCAAAAGAGATATTTGGGGTCCCTTGGGTTGTACTTATCCACAACGGCTATGGGCTATTGTATTTCCTTGTTAGTTTTTACAGTACCAGCCGACCGCGCTAAAAAAACAAGCACTTTCAGAGAAGCCCTTAACTATTTGCCACTCTTATGATACCAACTTTCCAATTATCATTATTACACAGAAATTTACATTCTTGCCACTAAAAAGAGGAGAGACACTAAACTTTTGCCATTTTCAATGATGTGGCATAGCAAGTTGGACGGTCAGCGTAAAAATGGCCGCATGACGGTCAGCGTAAAAATGGTCGCATGGCCGCATGAGGGTCAGTGTAAAAATGGCCGCATGCCCTCGGCAAGGCATGCGAAAAGACTAAAATGTCCCTGCCTATTCAGAAGCTCTCGCCATCGTCTCATATAGCTACTGGAGCGCCAACCCCCACCTGTCGCGCGATGCCTAGGTGGACCATCTCGACCTGGGCCAGCCATGTCACCGCGATGGCCATCAAGTAGAAGAGCCTCGCCGCCGTGGCCTACTTGTCTAAGGCACCCTTCTGGTCCACAGGTCCGATACGACGGATCAGCTTATGTCGAGATGGTCCATCCTATCTTGTTTTCATAAAAAAAATGGAAACAGAAACAAGAGAGGGTCTTCTGCTCGTTTCCGTCCGTTTTCATCCCTCACTGTGCATGACATGCATCAGCACCGCCAGAATGAAGGAAGCTGTTGCAAGTTGTGGCAACCGCATGAACTACTCAATTACTGGTGGGTGCCATGATCAAACCTATCATCGTCCTGTTCGCTTGTCTTATAATTCGTACTTTTCAAATTTTGTTTTTTCAAATTGAAAAGTTGTTTTTCTCTCACAACAAATTAGCGAATAAAGATTTCGACTTTTTTTTTTCAAATAAGCGAAACAGGTCATCGTAGTACTCCCTCCGTCCACGAAAGAATGTAATTCTCGCTTTTCGAAAATCAAGCCATTTGAACTTTGACTGAATTTAAATAAAAAGTACTAACATTCATGTTAAAAAAAAGTACTGTTACATTAGTTATAGAATATGTTTTCATAATAAATTTATTTGAAAATATAAATATTATTATTATTTACTATAAACTTAGTCAAAGTTGGACAAGTTTGATTGGCACGCTTCCGGCAGTACTCTTCAGCGAACGAACAATATTTTTCTCTCATAACAAATCAGTATAAGTATTAACATAAGCCAAATTTTAGCGAAACAAACCGGGTCTTAGGAGTATATACAAAAATTCATGACCGGGTGTAATGTACGGGTGTTTCTCTGTTTAAGTATATGATATTTGCTAAATTTTAGTCTAGACGTTTATTTTTGCGAAAAACAAATTTATAAAATATATAGAAATTAAAAAACTCCACCTCCCGCCGCCGGTTCACCAGTGGGCCGGCAAGGTAAAAAAAAACTGTTGCGTCCCTACGAAAAGAAATCCAACACCGCCCCTGCCCCTGGCGGCCTGGCTGCCTGGCATTGCACCCATCCTCGTGCACAGTGTAGAAGCTACGAGAGACGGCCGGTCCAAAAGGCGCGCGCAGCATAAGGGGCCCACCTCAACAGGCTGGCCACCCGCCGCCGTGTCGGCCTTCACAAGCCCAGAACCAGCACCCTCCAGAGCATTCCAGAACCCCAATCCAACGGCCAAGATCTCCCGAGCCCGAACCTTCTAGACCCGCCATCTCCTCAATAAAACCTCCTCGGCTCCTCCCCGTCTCCCACGTCTCGTCTTTCGTCTGTGAAAAAAAAAAGTTTCCACGAACCAATCTCTCTGCAACTGCAACCAGCAGCACGACCTGCGAGGGTTCGAAGGAAGGAGGAGTAGTAGTTTTTCGTTCGTAGAAGAGGAAGAGATGGCCAAGGGGGAGGGGCCGGCGATCGGGATCGACCTGGGCACAACGTACTCGTGCGTCGGCGTCTGGCAGCACGACCGCGTCGAGATCATCGCCAACGACCAGGGGAACCGCACCACGCCGTCGTACGTCGCCTTCACCGACACCGAGCGGCTCATCGGCGATGCTGCCAAGAACCAGGTCGCCATGAACCCCACCAACACCGTCTTCGGTACGTGTCAGATGCCATCCTCTTCCTTTCCCTTTTCACTTTGAACTTGGAACGCAAATTAGCACTAGCGTTGTTTGATTCCATGCTGCGGATGCGGAGTTTAACACTAATCATTGATGCTGCGGAGTTTTACATTAATCTTGACGCTTCAGATGCCTGTAGATCTACTGGAATTTGCTTTAGCGAGCAATTTCTACTCTGTTTCAATTAGCAACATGAGCAGCAGTAACCTTAAACATCTGATTTGTTTCAATTAGCTACTTTGTTATGTTCTCCATATGAGTAGGATAGTTTAACAACTAGGGGGATGCGAGTCGATTTGTGGAATTTGTTGCTCAAAATCAGATGCTGCCGTCTCAATTTTATCCTCTGTTTTTCGAACTTTGTAATAGCAATAACTGCAGTAAGTTTTTTCGATCAGATTTGCAATCAGTAGTTACCTTTGTCGCCTCTGGTGTAGCTACTCTAGATCCGTTTAGCGGTTTAGGTGGATTGCACCGCGTGCAATTACATTTTTGAACTGAATTTGTGCTGGAACGCTGTCCTGTAGAAAATTGTCACTGTCACCTTTCGTTGTTTAGTAATTTCAGACTGCAGTATTCGAAAATGTGCCGTACCTGATCATTGATTAAAATGTGCCTCACCTGATCATTGATTTTAATATTTAGCTGATTTACCGTATTGAGCGTGTGTTTTTCTGCCGTCATTTGACGGCCCTGCTGTTTTATTTTAATATTATTCAGCTCATTTATACCGTATTGAACGTGTGTTTTTCTGCTGTCGTTTGACGGCCCTGCTGACTGATGTCTTTCTGGATGGATGCAGACGCGAAGCGGTTGATTGGTAGGAGGTTCTCGGACCCGTCCGTGCAGAGTGACATGAAGCTATGGCCGTTCAAGGTCGTGGCTGGCCCTGCCGACAAGCCGATGATCGTGGTCAGCTACAAGGGCGAGGAGAAGCAGTTCTCCGCCGAGGAGATCTCCTCCATGGTGCTGAACAAGATGAAGGAGATCGCCGAGGCCTACCTCGGCTCCACCATCAAGAACGCCGTGGTCACCGTGCCTGCCTACTTCAACGACTCCCAGAGGCAGGCCACCAAGGACGCCGGCGTCATCTCCGGGCTCAACGTGATGCGTATCATCAACGAGCCCACCGCCGCGGCCATTGCCTACGGGCTCGACAAGAAGGCCACCAGCAGCGGCGAGAAGAACGTGCTCATTTTCGACCTCGGTGGTGGCACCTTCGATGTGTCGCTCCTGACCATCGAGGAGGGCATCTTCGAGGTGAAGGCCACCGCCGGTGACACACATCTGGGTGGGGAGGACTTCGACAACCGCATGGTCAACCACTTCGTGCAGGAGTTCAAGCGCAAGCACAAGAAGGACATCAGCGGCAACCCGCGCGCGCTGCGGCGTCTGCGGACGGCCTGCGAGCGGGCCAAGCGCACGCTGTCGTCCACCGCGCAGACCACCATCGAGATCGACTCGCTGTACGAGGGCATCGACTTCTACACCACCATCACCCGCGCCCGGTTCGAGGAGCTGAACATGGACCTCTTCCGCAAGTGCATGGAGCCCGTGGAGAAGTGCCTCCGCGACGCCAAGATGGACAAGAGCAGCGTGCACGACGTCGTGCTCGTGGGCGGCTCCACCCGCATCCCCAAGGTGCAGCAGCTGCTGCAGGACTTCTTCAACGGCAAGGAGCTCTGCAAGAGCATCAACCCCGACGAGGCCGTGGCGTACGGCGCGGCTGTCCAGGCCGCCATCCTGAGCGGCGAGGGCAACGAGAAGGTGCAGGACCTGCTCCTGCTCGACGTCACCCCGCTGTCCCTGGGCCTGGAGACGGCCGGCGGCGTGATGACCGTGCTGATCCCTCGCAACACCACCATACCGACGAAGAAGGAGCAGGTGTTCTCCACCTACTCCGACAACCAGCCCGGGGTGCTGATCCAGGTGTACGAGGGAGAGCGCGCCAGGACCAAGGACAACAACCTCCTTGGCAAGTTCGAGCTGTCCGGCATCCCGCCGGCGCCCCGCGGCGTGCCCCAGATCACGGTGTGCTTCGACATCGACGCCAACGGCATCCTGAACGTGTCTGCGGAGGACAAGACGACGGGGCAGAAGAACAAGATCACCATAACCAACGACAAGGGGCGGCTGAGCAAGGAGGAGATCGAGAAGATGGTGCAGGAGGCGGAGAAGTACAAGGCGGAGGACGAGGAGCACAAGAAGAAGGTGGACGCCAAGAACTCCCTGGAGAACTACGCGTACAACATGCGCAACACCATCAAGGACGACAAGATCGCCTCCAAGCTGGGCGCGGACGACAAGAAGCGCATCGAGGACGCCATCGACGGCGCCATCAGCTGGCTGGACAGCAACCAGCTCGCGGAGGCGGATGAGTTCGAGGACAAGATGAAGGAGCTGGAGAGCATCTGCAACCCCATCATCGCCAAGATGTACCAGGGCGCTGGCGCGGACACGGGCGGCGCCGCGGGCATGGACGAGGACGCACCGGCCGGCGGCAGCAGCGGCGCTGGCCCCAAGATCGAGGAGGTCGACTAAGCTGGCCCTGTGCATCGAGGGGTCCGAGATGCGTAATGCTTCCTCGCTCTTTGGGCGATCGTGTCATTTGGTAGGAGTTGTCGTGTTGTCGTGGTAGAAGTTGAACTTGAATTTGTTTGGGAGCAGTTTGACTTTGAGGTTGTGGTTAAAAAACTCACGCTGAGCTTTACTCAGCCTTTGAATATGATGATGCTTTCTTATGCCTGGTTCGTCGAGGAATCTGGAGGAATATGTGAGAACGTAAACAGTGATTTTCATTTGAAAACAGTGGATTCTGGCTGGTTGAGCGCCTTAATTGTTTTCCCCTTTCCGTCTGAGATTGGATATCTGTTTTGTGTGTTTGCTTATTAAGAAGTGATGATTAAGCTGCAGGGTCTCTCCAGCTGAGCAGGCGCACTGACAATTGTGCACGAAGGATCATCAGAGACGCACAGAGGACGTCTTGTTTGCTTGTCACCATGATGGCTCAGGACATATGCTAAGAGCGCGTTTAGTTCAAATTTTTTTTGGTTTTTCCTCGTCACATCGAATTTTTGGACAATTGAGTGAGAAATCGTGAGACGAAACTTTCAAACATAATTAGTCCATAATTAGACACTAATTATCAAATACAAACGAAAGTGCTACACGAAAATACTACAGTAGCTAAAACCAAAAATTTTCGCGAACTAAATGTGCCCTAACTTAAAAAGTGTAGTAGTTTTGTGAGAATTTTCACGACATTGTGAACACACCTTTTTTTTTCTTTTAGAGAGCATGGTGAGTATTACTTGATAACGATCCTGATCCCAAATATTTGATTTCCATTAGTTTTTTCTCATGCAAGCAGTGAGCACAATTGCATCCTCAACTGCCATATTCCGTGATTAGCACCATAGCAAGTTGTCAGAATTTGACAGGTTGCCATTATTATTTTTCCTAGCATAGCGGACTACCTCCGTCCCTTAAAAAAAAAAATTTTAGCACGGCATCACGTTTTAGTACTTTAAGTTTAGCCAATTATAGATAAAAAAAAACTATCCATATTTATGATACTAAATAAATACCATCAGATTAATTACGAGATATATTTTTATAATAAATTAATTTAAAGACATAACTGTGAATATTTTTCGCTGAAAACTTGGTTAAACATGAATCACTTTTTTAGCACGTAACCTATAATTGCATTCTTTTTAGATTGAGGTAGTAGTTCTTTTTTATAAGATAGGATGTAGCTTTTATATAGCGATCAAATTGGTAAAAGTTTTAAAGCTGCAGGACATGTACATGATTAGTTCTTTTTTTTAAAAAATCCCTTTGAGTTTTGTAAATTGCGACCCATCACCTAAATAGAACCCTCCCTACAACCTAGCAGTAGCAGTTTTATGATCTTTGCCCCCATCTACAACCTCTATGCCACCTCCTTTCGAACCCCTCTTCGTGCCATTCTTCCAGTGCTCCTGCCACATAGGCGCCGCCGCGCCGGGTAGGTCCTCGCCTAGTTCCATGTGACATGGTAAACATCTCTTTATGCTCACCGGGTTTTTTTTCGAGGGAATGCTCACCGTATTTATGTGACATGGTAAACAGATATGGTAAACATCTCTTTATGCTCACCAGTTTTTTGAGTGATGGTGCCCTAGTTCTTCTAAAGAACGGCAAGACATTTACCGAACCATTTTAGGTGAAAAAAGAGTACTTGAAACAAAATAAGTCACCTAACAAAAACAGAGGTAAAAGAAAAGGAAAACATAAAAATGGGGCTGTTGCCACCGCAACGAGTGAAGGACAAAGTATTTAGTAAAAAAATCCACATGTTTCGGAAAGGAAGTGAGTAAATACTAAATAGTATCACAAGGCGAAAATGTTTATGACATCCATCAATTAATGGATGAATAATCTAGTGAGTGAAAACTAGGTACCAAGAATATAACATCAAGGAATAATATGATCAAGTTCCCTGGTCTGTCGAAAATACTCTTTTTGTTTTAAATTATAAGTTAGTTTTAGTTTTTTTAGGTACGTAGTAAAAGCTATGTGTCTAAATATAGCGTGTATCATAGAAAACCCAGAATGACTTGTAGTTTAAAACGAATGGAGTATGACACAAATATAAATGAATGACTCAACACTCTTAGAAGATCCTAGATAAATTAGTTGTCATCATGACTCCCGCTGTCAGTATAGAACCCACCACCAAAGCTCTCATGCCCACCAATGAACATGTCACTACTTGGATGAGGAACCGCAGCTCTTTGATTCAGACAGCCTATGCAACAGCCATATGGACAAAACCCAATTGTGCAGGTGCAGCACTGGTAAACATGGAGCTCGTTCTCAAGATTGGCATCTATTTCCACAGAAAAGAACAGCTCATCATCGGTTGGGGAATAAGCAGTAAAGCTGTAATACAGCAGGCTAATCCATATTCAAAGACGGTGCACTTCTCGGTGATCTCTCCACGTTGGCCCTGTTCGTTTCTCTTATAATCCATAGTTTTCAGTTTGTTTTTTTAGCTGAAACAGTGTTTTCCTCTCACAACAAATCAGTCGGAACAATGTTTCGGCTTGTTTTTTCAGCGGAAACGAACGGGCCAACTATCTGGAACTCTGGATATCTCTTGTTGACGATACGCCGATACGCAGAGCCATTTGGACATTCTTCTCCTCAGACCTCGGGGAAGCATTGGTCGGGGTGACGTCGGCCGTTCAGCCTGATCAGGCGGGTCGATTTGGTCGGCGAAGCATTGCTGCATGCACCTTTGGTAGGTGGCGCCAGCGTTCTTCAGACCGAAAGGCATGGTCACGTAGCAGTACGAACCATAGGGGTGATAAACGAGGTCGCGAGCAGATCGGAATCTTTCATCACGATCTGGTGATAGCCTGAGTAGGCATCCAGAAAGAAGAGGATCTCGCAACCCGAGGTGGAATCAATTATCTGGTCTATGCGTGGTAAAGAAAAGTGATCCTTCGGACACGCTTTATTAAGTCTAGTATAATCGACGCACATTCTCCACTTCCCGGTCTTCTTTTTGACAAGGACGGGATTGGCGAGCCAGTCCGAGTGGAAGACCTCCCTGATGAATCCGGCCGCCAGGAGTTTGGCGATCTCTTCGCCTATGGCCCTGCGTCTCTCGTCGTCGAAGCGACGCAGGCGCTGTTTGGCGGGCTTCGAGCCTGGGATGAGGCGTAGTGCGTGCTCGGCGACCCCCCGCGGTATCCCCGGCATGTCAGAAGGCTGCCATGCGAAGACATCGCGATTGTCGTGCAGGAAGTCGACAAGCTCGCATTCCTATTTGGCCGGGAGCTGGGTCCCGATTCACGCCGTTTTGGTTAGGTCGGTGGGGTCGATACCCACCGCCTTGGTTTTCTCGAGTGGGCGAAAGGCCGTCGAAGAGGTTGGTTTGTTGCAGTCCGGGACCGATGGGGTTGACGTCCCCGAGCCGCGGGAGCTCGGATGAATTGACGACCGCGGTGGCGAGCTCGTAGTGCTCGTGGTCGCACGCGAAGGCGTGCGAAAAGACCGCGGTGGCGAGCTCGTAGTGCTCGTGGTCGCACGCGAAGGCGTGCGAAAAGGCGCTACTCACGGTGATGACGCCGTTTGATCCCGGCATCTTCAGCTTGAGGTAGGTGTAGTTGGGGATTGCCATGAATCTTGCGTAGCATGGCCGCCCCAAGATGGCGTGGTAGGACCCCGGAAAGTCCACCACCTCGAAGGTAAGGATCTCCGAGCGGAAGTTGGCCCGGCTGCCGAACGTGATGGGCAGATCGATCTGTCCGAGCGGGTACGCCTGCTGAAAGCTCTAGTTTGGTTTTGATTAATTGATGAAACCCTAAGTGCTAACCTAGTTTATCAAGATGATTATGAGATAGGTAGCACTACTCCAAGTGATGAAGCAATGACGAAGATCATGACAATGGTGATAGCATGGTGATCATCAAATGCTTGAACTTGGATAAGAAGAAAGAGAAAAACAAAAGGCTCAAGGCAAAGGTATAAAATGTAGGAGCCATTTTGTTTTAGTGATCAAGACACTTAGTGAGTGTGATCACATTTAGGATAGATAGCCGTACTATTAAGAGGAGTGTAACTCGTATCGAAATGCGGTTATCAAAGTGCCACTAGATGCTCTAACTCATTGTATATGCATTTAGGATCTAGTGGAATGCTAACACCCTTGAAAATATTTGTGAAAATATGCTAACACATGTGCACAAGGTGTTTGCAGGGTTGAGATGGGTTTGGGTCCCTCTCTCCCTCCCACCGAGCTTGCGAGGCGGGATTCAGCGCTTTTGGAAAAATGAAATGTCTATTTTCTATTGCGCCGGATGCATAATTCTTGGTGGTTGGCACATTTGAGCAAGGGTGAAGAAGTTAGAGTTGAAATAGAGTTGGTCGAAATGATGCTGGCGTCGGTCTACTGACCGGACGCTGGGTCACTCAGCGACCGGACGCTGAAAGGCTGCGTCCGGTCGAGCTGTCAGACGGCACAGTGGGAAGGGTTGAGCACCGGACGCTGGTCTGCGTTCGGTCAAGGTGGACCGGACGCATCCGGTCGAAGAAATACGTCTCGGGGAGCTTACTGGAAACGACCGGACGCTGGGGCTTCAGCATCCGGTCAGTTTTGCCGGAGCGTCCGGTCAGCTTCGTAGCCGTTGAAATCTGACGAACAGCGTTTGAAGCTGGTGACGCGTGGCGTCCATCGGGCGACCGGACGCTGAGGGCCAGCGTCCGATCGGTATGACCGGAGCGTCCGGTCAGAGCGTGTTTTGCCCAGTGAAGGAGTACAACGGCTCTATTTGATGGGGGCTCTATTTATAGCCCCATGGCCGGCTCAAGGGAGCTCTCTTGCACATTTTTATTGACATAGCAACCTTGTGAGCTTAGCCAAAGTTCTCCCACTCATCTCCATCATTGATCCATCATCATTGTGAGATTGGGAGAGAATCCAAGTGCATTGCTTGAGTGATTGCATCTAGTGGCACTTGGTATTCGTGTTGCGCTGCGGATTTCGCTTGTTTCTCTTGGTGGTTGCCACCACCTAGACGGTTGGAGCAGCGGTGAAGGATCGGCACGAGTTGGTGATTGTTCGTGGCTGCCTTCGGTGATTGTGAGGGGAGTTGTACCTTCCCCGGCGGAGTGCCGAAAGGTAACTCTAGTAAATTGCTCGTGTCATTGAGTTACCTCACTTGTGGGTCGGTTCTTGCGGTGTCCTATCGTGTGGACGAGGTTTGTGAAACACCTCTTAGCCACCGAACCACTAAGTGTTGGTCGACACAACGGGGACTAGCGTGTTGATAAGCACGTGAACCTCGGGAGAAAAATCGGTTGTCTCTTGTTATTTGCATTCTCCCGGTGATTGGCTATATATTCATCGTGTAATTGGTTCACTCCACGACCCGGCGGTATAATTGTCTCACTTACTCATTTACATTTCCGCAAACTAGATATAGCAAGCTCTTTAGTATAATTAGAATTGAGAGCTTGCCTTGTGCTTTAAACATATCTAGTGGAGCTCTTTAGTGTAGCTTTTGTGAGAGCTTTTAGTGAGTAGTGGTCAAGTAGATTGTGTGCAAATAGATCATTGCAACTAGAATTGTTGGATAGGTGGCTTGCAACCCTTGTAGAGCTAGAGCAAGTTTGCATTTCGCTATTTGTCTTACTAATCAAATTGCTCTAGTTGATTTGTAGTTTTTAAATAGGCTATTCACCCCCCTCTAGCCATATTAGGACCTTTCACCTGCGCTCCCGGGATTACCCCGTGGAAGGGGGAGCCCACCAGGCAGAGCTCCGATCGGGGGATGCGCATGGCGTCGAGGGTGTCGATGTACAGGATATTGAGGCCGCTGCCCCCGTCCATCAGCACCTTGGTGAGACGCTTCTTGTGGACGATGGGGTCGACAATGAGCGGATAGCGTCCTGGTCTTGCGACGCAGGAGGGATGGTCCCTCTGATCAAAGGTGATCGGGGATTCCGACCAGCTGAGGAAGGAGGGGACGGCCATCTCGACGGGGCATGCCTCTCTGTAGCGCACCTTGTGCTGACGTTTGGTCCAGATGGCGTCGGACCCGCCGAAGATCATGATGCATTCCTTATGTTCGGGGAAACCGTCTTCGTCCTTGCCTGCCGCGCCTCCCTTCTTGGCTGCCGCCTCCTTGCCGTCTCTCTCCTTTGGCCCACCGGTAATGTCAATCAATCAGTCAGAATAATATTTTGGCCTGTGTTTTCAACGGAAACGAACGGGCCAGCTGTCTGGAACTCTGGATATCAGACCTCGGGGCTTGGGAAATTTACATTTACCTTTCGGCAAGGGTGCCGGCTCTGTAAACCGCCAGCTGTGTGCATTGTGGTCATAGACGTAGACGCTCCCCCCGCTCTCTCTCTCTCTCTCTCTCTCTCTCTTGATACGGGACTTCCATATATTAATTTAGCAACATATTACAGAAATGGGACAGAATGTTCCCCAGTCAATGTTCTGGAGTGCACGCATGGTAGCACAATTCTCATGCGAAACCTACTTTAAGCATTCAAACTTACAAGTTTGTGGAGCAGATTGTCGGGCATGCTTCGCTAGTCTACGAGCTACTCTGTTAGCTTGTTGTGGAATCTTTCAAAACTCATCTTGAGCTTCAGAGTTTGAGATAATGTGAGCAATTGAAGGTCGGAGCTTCCAGTGTGCGGGTTGTTGTAAAGGATCTCTTTTCTTCAGAGCGTCCACAAGTAGTTGACAATCTGAGAAGAGCTTGTACTGTTGTTGCTGCAGAGCTTTCAACACATGAGTTACTAGCTGAACAGCTAGAGTTTCAGCCTGGAGAGGGCTGTCGACATCCATCACCTGCGCTTTGATCATCAAGGATTGATGACCTAGAACCTGTAAATTAGACAAATAGATGCCCAGTCCAGCTAGGGTAGGCGCTGCAATGTGTGACTCCGGAGGAATGGATGCATCCACGTAACAGTCAGGGATGATACATGATTGTGCAGGTTCACCAGTGCTGTATGAACCAGTTGTCGGAGCTATGGTTGCTGGTTCCATCTCTAAATTATCAACAGGGACAACTGATGTTGCCCTATCCTCGCCCGCCTGTGGTTGATTCACCTGTTCATCATCTATAAAGGAGAGGAGAGGCTGAACAAATGTCAGCCTTAGTTTCATAGAGCACTTTTTTAGTGTTCCATTTTTTCCCATTGAACCTCCAGTCATTTCTTGCTTTCCATATATACCAAAGAGTGGTAAAAAACCTTTTGCATGATATCAGGAGAGGTGTGAATAGGGAGGATGTGGGAAATTGATTCTTGAATGCCATCTTCCTCATGTGGTAATGTGTCTGTTCTGAGTGGAGGATCAGAACCAAACCATACAGCTCTGGAAAAATCACAATCTTTGCATTTGTTCTGTATGTGTTTGGAGAAAGAAGCAGCTCGATTCCCTGTTGCAAGTGCTTGTCTCAATAATCTTCTAGGCGGTAGGAGCTTGTGCTTCCAGATATTTTGGAGGGTGAGTATCTGTGGTTTTAGACGCCGAGTCCCTTGGGTAGGGATATCTCTCTCCTCCTGACTAGAAATGTACCTGTATGCTTCTTTAGTTGTACAATTTCCTGAGTTGGATGGAATCCATATGAGTTGATCCGGTCTCTGGCTTGGTGCTTGAGGAAGACCCTCTTTCCCTGACAATCAGTTGTCATCGCAACCTGCACCATTGATTGGCAATGCAGCAGCCAGCCACAATCGCACCACTGCCGCGGCAGTGGTGTTTATATGAAGAGCGTGATGTTTATAGACGAATCTGCGCAAGAACCGAACCGGAGAGGAATCGGAGTCCGGTTGGGATTGGCAGATCGCCTAGCAGGCATATTATTCTGATGATAGCTTTGCTGGTATCGATATCTTTGTTTTAGTTTATATGTATTGTCTCACTTCTTCAGTCGTGATATTATAGCATGATATACCATTGGACGCCCTAGACCTAGCGAAGTAATAATGAATGTTTGGATGTTCCATGATTCCATCGATCGTTTAACATGGTTCCAAAAACCAAATCACGTTGGTTTCGGAGCAGGTTCACATTAGTTAAATGGTACTCCTATAATTTTTTAAGAAATGGTATGTCATCTAATGAAAAGTCAAATCTTTTTGAAACAAAAATAGCAATAAGATTCTCAGGCCGATTGGAACCATAGCATACAATACGCGGTAGTGGAACAAAGATAACCATGAGAAAAAGTGAAAAACCAAAGCACAAGATTAAAAAACAGCAAAAGATTAACAAACCATGGATGCATTGGAAGTTGGAGCAAAATCCCACGAGGTGGTTCGATACATGACTAAAAACAAAATATTTCGCTGACAAATACTTTGACATGTCTATTAGGTACTACAGGTAGGAAAGAACAGACACTGGAACAGAATCTGGCCGCCAGCTTCATGAACTTGAAATGCTCTATTTCTTCTTGTCAGTGTGCGCACCAGCCGATCTGCACATACCAACAGAAAATTCAGTTAATACTGACAGTTATGCAGCATGAAGGAGGATCTCTTCTATTGAGCCAACATGAAGATGCTAATATGAACAATGTTATGAAACAATTCAAACATATTGTTAAATGCCAACATAAAATCCATTTCTATTAGATACGATGGTCCAATGATAGTGTCCACTAAATAGACAAAAATATACAACTGACCAGATAGTAGAAAAACAAGACATGTATATATAAGCAGATCAGACAAGATTAGGATACTATAACACTATGCATACAATCAATAAGCACTAGTCATCTATACACAAACTCATTACCAGGTAATGCAAATGGCAGGATCAATATGCAGAACTTAAATTGATGTGCATTAATGAAATAACAGTCGTTGGAGTAAGAGTAAATCATAATTATGCAACAAATTAGCAGAAGCAACTGACTAGACACATGCAAAAGCATCTGCAGGAAAAAAAAAGACAGGCTACCAAGCAGTATTCTAGTTTTATCACAACAAAGTTTCACATTTACACACCTCATCTTCCTGAGGACACCCGCCATCTCCTCTCTCTTCTTCTTTGCCCTCTTGTGAGTTCCAAGCTTTCTCTTGGCGACCTTCAGAGCACGCTTATCCTTGCCAACCTTCAGAAGCTCAGTGATACGCTTCTCATACGGAGCAAACCCAGCAACCTCTCTGATCAGGCCCCTGACCATGGACACCCTCTTCGTTGCTTTCTGCATACCACATGAACTTAGAATAGAGGACACAGCAAATCTATCACATAGGAACACACACTACTTGTACTAGTCATTTACAAGTGCAGACACTAAATCATAGGCTTTTACAAGTTAAATAAATGAAAGCAAAATATCTCAGTATTTGGTAGGGCACATGGCAGCAAATTCAATATATGAGAAACAACAGGCAACCTTCACATTCACACAAACCTTTAGGAACAAATTCTACTAAAGCATGTAGATCAACATGTCTTACACTGTCGTCAGCAATCAAACCTTCCATATGCATAAAGTAAACTGGAGCTCCAAAACTAGTATTGCAGATCCATCAAACTGTGTTTTGTCGAATTGAAAATGAACAAGGACAAGATTAAAAACACAACGAATCCTCAGATTCTTGCATACGAGCAGCAAGCATGATCCTAGTCACAAACACACATCCTAGACAACCCAATAAGCCCTTGTTTGGATGGATGTGCATCCACTTCAATCCACATGTGTTAGTTTAATTCCACTCCAATCCACTTCAACATTTGTGAATTGAGATGAATACATGCGCATCCAAACAAGGCCTAAAGCGAAACTTTACACCGCACAAACTATCAACTAGTAAGATCTTCTCTGCATCCTAAACCCACAACAACTAACAACTAATCACACCACCACTACCACCCGCTATATTAACGTTATGACCCTAAAAAAGCTGAAAGTTGGCTTACCCCCTTGCGGTGGGACGGGCGCGGAGGCAGCTCGCGCTTGGTGACGACATGGCCCTTGTTGATGCCCACGAAGAGGCCCGACTTCGGCTGCGGCGGCGCCATGAGGACGAACCCTTTCCTGTGCGCGCACACAAACAAGCGGAAATGAGCGCGTACGCAAGGAGAGAGAGGCTAGGTTTCAGATTGGCGGCGGCGGCAGCGCGGGGAGGGGGGCTTACCTTACCTGTAGAAGTGAACCGGCTGCTACCGAGGAGAAACCCTAGCGGAGTAGATCCTTTATATAGGCGACTCGGAGGTGCTTCGCGGCCGGAGGATACTGGGCTGGGCTGGGCTGAGATTGTTTCATTCTCTTTTCCGGGCCTTTTATGTTATCTGGGCCCAGGTTTTCTTAAGAGGATTGTGATTAGTAAGTTGGGCTCGTGTGGGTCGTTGTTCGTCAGAATTTTTGGAGTTTGCACTATGGGGATGAGCTGGGCTTTGGGATGAGCGCGCGGGACAGCTTATTTGGATTGCGGTGGGCAGCCGGCGCCGGACGGGGTGGCCACTACTACGAGATAGGACACAGTTATTACGATTACGATTTTCCAGTCATAACCCACCCAGCCACCTCTCCGTGAGAGGCATGGGAGGTGGAGTCAAAATATTCGGTGCAAACTATATTTTTAATATTATTATAAAAACTCTCTCCCAAAATATAGTTAAGAGTTTTTAAAATGTTTGAAACTATGCACATTCACAGCGCATCTATTGATGGACACATTGCCACAAAATTTGAGATTCAAACTCCATCTAAAAAAATCATATGAAAATAATAAATTTCAGATGTATATGCATTAGGCAGCAAATTCCTAGAAAATTGTCTTCTAATGCATATGCACCTAAAATTTGTTATTTTTTGTATGATTTTTTTACAAAACGTGTTCGATGTCAAATGTTGTGGCAGTGTTCATCAATAGCATCACTATGGATGTGAATAATTTTAATTTTTTAAAACTCTTAAGTATGTATTCAAAGATTTAGTTTGCACTGAATATTTTGCTTCGAATATGAGTCTCTTTATTATTCATGTCATGAACCCAGTTCTTTTCCATATCCTTTCATTCTTATATACCATTCCCACCTATCATAACTGAAAGAACCGAGGATGCCACCTGGAGAGGGGGTGAATAGGCGTTTCTAAAAATTTAACCCTTCAAAATGCGGAAACGATTAGTGTTGGAGTTTCCTCCTAATCAAAGAAATAAACCCCTCACGAGTTAGCTAACAGAGTAAACAAGGTATGTGTAAGGTATCTTGGAGCTAAAACTCAGAACCACAAAGGTTAGAAATGAGATTGAATAAAAACAACGAGTCCACAAATACCGGACGTCTCCGTGAAAGTGCAATCAAGCCCTAATTGTGGGTTTGGTGATAATGACCATGTAGTTAGATAACTAATGAGCTTTATCGAGATGACAAGCAGGAAATTTATATTTAAGGATGCTACACGAAACGAAGGAGCCCCAATTACAAATGTGGATGGCTTCAAACTCAAAAGTGGTTTAAATTTTTTTATATTTTGAATTTGAGTATAGGAAAAGTCATACTATAAAGGAGGACACAATGCTTAAGCTAACATGTGCTACCAAGTGCTCAAACATACATATGCATCCTTAGATTCACAGCCAAGACAGTATAAACTTCACTCTTATCCTTGCTGTCTTGACTGGTGCGGCACTGTCGCACTTAAGCCGCGGCACTACCGCGACTTAAGTGACCGTTGGGGCTGAGGGGGTAGTGCCACAGGGTGAAATTAATAAAAGTTTTAGTGTTTGTTTTGACAGGCCTATTCAACCCCCTCTAAGCCAACTAGAGATCCTACAAGTGGTATCAGAGCAAGGTTACCTCATATACGCTTCACCGCGTGAGGTATGGAGCTCAGAGGAGGAGTTAGTGGAGTGAAGCCGGTGAATGTCGAGACGTACAGCAGCGAGCTGAGTGCGTTGACAGCAAGCAACACCACACTACCACATCTTGAGGCTACCGATGCTGAAAGAGCTCTCAATGATAATGAGAGAAGAAGAAATGAGGCAAGAAAGCTAAAAAGAGAAGTAAGAGAGAAAGCGGGGGAGGAGGCAAAGAGGAGAAGAAGGAAGCTCTCTCTAGAAAAGAAGAAGGAAGAAGAAGAGAAGGCAACAAGTGCATCATCAAGCATATCAAGTATTTTCGTGACCTGATGAGTCCTCAAGTGTCAAGAACAAGAAGGAGAAATCCAACAACAAATATGATTTCTCCATCAAACCCTTGATCAAAAAGGATCCAAAACTGATTACCAAGTGGAAGCACTTGATGAGAGCCTATCTTATAGGTCTCAACTTGTTTGCAAAGATTTGAGTCTTCGATTGATCCCAAGAACCCAACACTAGAAGAGATGAGAATCATTCACCTCAATGGTCAAGCCACAAGGTGTTGCTTTAGTGTCTTGGATGGTGATGAGTACAATAGAGTGATTGGAGTTGATGTTGCTCTTGGGACACTTGCACCTAGCACATGAAGGGGTTGACAAAGTGAGAAAGGTAAGAATTGATTTATTGACGTCAAAGCTCAACTTGCCAGAGGGGCTTGTTTGATAGGTTGATGACAATGGTGGGCAAGAGGCTTGGTGTATGAGCATCTCTTGAGTTGACAAGATTATATTGGAAACTTATTCATCCATCATCTAATTAGAGATAAGAAAAATTTGAGTTAAGTCTATTTGACTTGACCTTTGACATGCAAAGAGAAGGGCAAATGAGAGGAAGAAATTTGGAGAATTGCAAGCAAAGCTAAAGGGCATCAAGATCAAAGATGTAGCTCTCAAGGCCAACAAATCAAGCAAGCAAGGCTCTACAAGCAAGTCCAAGATCAACCAATAAGCTTCAACTAGCAACCCAAAGCAAGCAAGCAAGTTCAAGAAAGAGTAGAGACCATATCATCTTCAAGTGAAAGTGAAAATGATGATGATCAATATGAGAAGATTGATGATGTTACATTATTTGAATAGATTTCATATTAAAGAAGCAAGGCTGTTGGTAGGTGATTTCCAAATAAGATTTCTAGTTGATCTACTTGTTGTGGTGCCCATATGAGATCAAGGAAAACAAATACAAGAAAGAGGACAAGGCTACTGGGAGAGGCTCACATTGGGTATGAATGGGACTCAACTCACAAGTGAAGAGAATAAGAAGATTGTTACTATTCACAAGTCATCCCCTACACCAAGGCTCTTAAACAACATGTCCGATGATGACTACTACTCCCCTCACATTTGTCTTATGGCAAAGCGTGAGAAGGTAAAATCTAAATCAAAGGCTAAATCTCCTCCACCTCCTAGTGATATCTCTAGTAGTGATATTAGTAATAGCTCTAGTGATGATGAATCTAGTGATGAAGAAATAAATATGATAACTAAAAATTTGTATGGAAAGACTAAATTATTCATCACTAAGCTAATGGAGGATCTAGAGAGTGTCCAAGCCGAGCTAGAATCTAGAGAAGAGACTCTTATCCAACAAGAGAATCTCTACATTGCTAGCAAAGAAGCTCTTGCATTAGAGAAAAGTGAGGTGAAATTCTTGCGCAAGGCCTTGGCCAAAGAGCAAAAGGACCATGCTATCACAAAGAAAGCAAATAATGCTCCCAAAAAAAGTATTATGACTTGGATTAAAAGCACAAAGAACTTAAGATGCAATATGGCATTCTTTGGGATAGCAACTCACATCTCTCCAAGGCAAAGGAAACCTCTACTTCCTCCACTAGTCAAGTGCCAAGTTCAAGAGAAGGTGAAGATATTTGTAAGCAGAGCTCAAATGTAGTTCGGTCCTTCCATCAAGAAAGTAGGAAGTGACAATGGGACCGAATTTAAGAATACTCTAGTTGAGGAGTTTCTTGATGAAGAGGACATCAAGCATAAGTTTTCAACTCCATACCTCCCTCAACAAAATGGTGTAGTAGAGAGAAAGAACCGTACACTCATTAACATGGCAAGGACAATGCTAGATGAGTACAAGACGCCGGACATCTTTTGGTGTGACGTCGTCAACACCGCTTGCCATGCCATCAACCGCCTCTACCTACACAAGAAGTTGAAGAAAACTTCATATGAGCTTCTAGCAACAACAGAGTGTTTGGGTGCAAGTGTTTCACCAAGAAATCAAAAACCTCTACTTACACCTGAAAAGATGAAGGTTTCTTCTTAGTTATGGATCAAATGAACATGCCTGTTTCAACAAAACCTCTAGGAGAGTTAAGATTGCGGTAGACGTGACATTGATGAATCTAATGACTCTCAAGTGGAGCAAGTTGATTCAAGTGTTATAAGAAAGGAGGATCCAGCATGTGAAACAATGAAGCAATTGGCTATTGGTGATATTAGACCACAAGAAGATGAAGTCGCTAAAGTGGTGGCTCCTCAGTTCTTCTTTGCACCTATTTACCGACGTCTTTTGCAACTTATTGTAACTTTGCGTTTCTTCCATCCACTACACATCGGCAACAGTGATTCCTCTCCCTACAATCCATATTCGAGCAAGATGATGATGAAGATCCAAAAGATGAACAAGAGGCCATTGAGCATCCAAGGCTAAGGCAAACAATACAAGGATCATCCCATTGATAACATCTTTGGGATCTTGGTGGGTGCTTTTGTCAATATTACTCGTTTGTTTCGAGCCTCTTAGCCAAGCACTTTTGGGTGATGGCCATGCAAGAAGAGCTCAATAACTTCGAAAGAAACCAAGTAATTTGGTGGAAATACAAATCATTGGCACCAAATGGGTCTTCCGCAACAAACAAGATGATGGAGTGGTGACAAGGAACAAGTTGGTTGCTCAAGGTTTCACTCAAGTAGAGGGGCTTGGACTTTAAAGAAACATATGCACTCAAATTTGAATTCGAATCTTGTAGCCTATGCCACTCATCAAAAATATCAAATGATTTTGCAAGAATGAGACACAATCATCCTATCAATTCAACTAAGATCTCGAGGGGATAAACCATGGAGGGTCCAAAGGAGTTGGGAGCTCAAAAGATAGATGGAAAAAACATGGTGAAGTAGTGAGTTGCTCTCGCCCGGAGTCGGAGAG